TTTCTCTCTCTCTCTCTCTCTCTCTCTCTCTCTCTTTCCCTCTCTCTCTCTTTCTCTCTCTCTTTCCTTCTTCCCTATCTCCCTCCCCCACCTTTCCCTTCTCTTTTAAGCCCTCTCTTTGAGTACCCACTTCAAGGAATTAACTACATCTTTAAGGGGCCCACGACGCCAATTAATTCACCATCATCACCACCACCACCAGCATCACCAGCATTGGCATCAACCGTTAACACACTTTCCAAAGCCCGAGGCGCTCAATGCTCTTTCCACAAAGTGGATGGCAGTCTGTCACTTAATATTAGTCCCCTATTTTACCCCCCACGGGGGAAAAAACCAACAACACTCCCCCCAAAAAACCAAAACAACAAAAAACAAAACCAAAAAGACAAACAAACAAACAAAAGCAAACGAAAATAAACACAAAAACAAACAACAACCAATAAACAAAAACAAAGAAATTAGAAATAATTACAAAATAAAAGTAGTTACAAAATACCGCAGAAAAAGCGTGAATGAATAATATATAAGCTGGAAAAAAATGACAGCTTATTAATATTCTTATAAAGTGTTGGAACAACCCGGAATTCGGATCCCCCCGCTCTTTTTTTTTACTCTATGGATATTCAGTTCTTTTTCTTCTTTTTACTTTCGTAACAGATAAGGAGAAATTTTGATGAACTATTCTTACTGTTTACAGTAACACTTCTTAGATTCTCTATTGTATTTTTTTTTAATTACATCATTTAAAACTTTATGGTGTTAATACTTTGCTTTGCAGATTTTCCCAATAATGAAATGGACGTGTCTGTAATCCAAATTAGACCCCCGATAACCAAGTTGATACATATGTACCATGCTGGACTACTTAGCGGATGACTCATTATCTGTCTTATCCGACACGAAATTAAATTTGAATCCAGAAGTTCTGCAGTTTTCGTATCATTTGTAAAGAAATAATAATATTCATGAGGTAAAAAATAAACGGAACACCCCGATCCCAATGCCCTCCTTTTAATAATATAGAAAATATCAAATAAGTAAAGATACAGAAAGTAAAAAAATGGAAAACGTGTATTTATAAAAACAAATTCTAAGTAATAGACAGCTAAAGGAATCAATGCCCTCTTCTTTCCCACAGATCATGTCGTAAATTCAAAAATAATAATCCTTCATGCTAATTTTATTTTTATATTCATCGCCCCAAGCGTCCCTCTTTCATTTTTTTCATTAATTCCTTCCTTCCTTCTTTCCATCCATTTATTTCGTTTGTAAACCGTTCTCGATCTTAGCACCTCGATCAAGCACTCCCATAGAAAACAGAACACACCAAAAAAGCTTTATAAACTCACACTCAAAAGCATGCTCACTTGCCCCAAAAGCTACACACACGGGCATTCAACGCTGTGAGAGTAGCATTGGGACCTTTACGATGGCGAATATATAAAATTAGAATTATACCTAGTGTATGCATGCCAGTCTCATTCACACTAACGCTAACATGCACAAGCATGCCACCATTTACATAAACACACATACCAACGCTTAAATACACGCACATACATACATACATACATACATACATACATACATACATACATACATACATACATACATACATAGATAGATAGATAGATAGATAGATCTT